GACATGGTTAGGAAGGGCCCAAGAATCAAAGGGGACTTAGGATTGTTGAGGAAGCTTCCAAATCCCAGGATGGGGGTGGTGGTTTCTTTTTTCTTCATTCTCTCCTCAGTCTCGAAGACCCCAAGAGATGCCATTAATACAGATTCCTTCTCTGGCCCCTTTGACACACTTGCTTTTGAAGGACCTGGAAGAGAAAGCTCTTTGTATGTGGTCAGAATAAACTCATTGTACACCCAAACAATTAACTCCTCAATGGACTTGCCAGCCCCTTGAAAGGGCCAGCCCAGCTTCCCTGGACCTCTTGGGCTCTATTCAGTCCCTTAAGCACACCAATGTTTTTTGGGGTTTTGTTTGTTTTTGTTTGTTATTCTGAAAAGTCTTTCCTTGAGAATAGTCAGAGCGGATCAACATTGTCCTCAGCCTGGCATTTATCTCCCGTTGCCAGCAAATGTCAATCAGGAATCAAAAAGCCAAACAGAGGAGGCTTTGAACAGTGTCATCGGGGGTCGAAGTGACTTCCAGCTGTCTATGCGTGGGCCAGGCCTTCTTGCAGGGCAAGGAATTGTGCTGTCATACAAACCCAGTTTCTGTATACACTCCCAAAGCCCATGTGGGGGCTGAAACTTTCTGGGGCTGCACCTGCAAGGACAAGGCCTGATTGGAGGCTGGGGAACCTTGGAAGGCCACATGCTATGGCTCTGGGGCTGGGCAGTTTCCAAAGTTGCTGGGCCTTGAGCAAAGCACTTACTTGCATTGAGACTCAATTCTCTTTTAATCTGTCTGGTAACTTCCTGCGCTGGCTGGTTGTAGGAATAGAAGAGGAAAGCAACCTGCCAGAGCATTGCAAAATTCAGTAATACTGTTGATCTTGACATTATCCTTGAGAGTCCCTCATATTTGCCTTATTTGCATATTCAATGTTTTCAAATTTACCTTTTTCCTCCCTCTTGTAAGAAAAATTATTAGTCTTTGAATTAACTTTTTTTTCCCAGGGTTCTATCTTCTTCCCCTTAGTCTGGGAGAATATTATGGTATTAAAGAGAGAGTCTTATTAGTTGAGGTCCAAAAAGTGACCAGGAATAAACTTCAGACTTCAGGTCATCCTATGCACATATGTAAAGTGAGATTCAGGTGTATATTTTAAAATATATGAAAGAGTCTCTGAATTAAGGGCTGGTTATATAATCCAGCTGTGCTGCCTGATGACTTAGCTCAGGTAATTTATACAGTCTCTATTGTTTTAACAGCTTTATTGGAGTATAATTTATATACCAAAAATTTACCTACTGCATTGCACAGTTTAATAAGTATATAGAGTTGTACAATCAACAATAGGAACATTTCTGTCACTCAGAAAAAAAAACAAAAAACAAAAACAAACTTATCTATAATTAAACCTCATTCCCACCCCCATCCCTAGGGAACCATAGATCTTTCTGTCTCTACCGATTTATCTTTGTTAGACATACCATCTGGATGGAATCTGATAATAAGTAGTATTTATATCTGCTGGCTACATTTAGAATAATGCTTTATGAGGTTCTTCATTTATACTGTCACATATATTAGTTATTCATGCATTGACTGGTATTCAGTTAGATGGATATATTGTAATTTATCTGTTCACCATTTGGATTATTCAGATTTGAGACTATGATGAATAATGCTGCTATGAACATTTATGTACATGTCTTTATGTTGGAATATTTTTATTTTTCTTTGATAGATTCATAGGAGTGGAATTTTAGGGTTGAATGCTAGCTTTTGTTTAGCTTTTTTAAAAAATTGCCAAACTTTTTTGCAAAGTTACTGCCCAAAATTTACATTCCCACCAGCAGTGAACAAGTGTTCCAGTTTCTCCACATCCTTGCCAACACTTGGTGTTGTCTTTTTTATTCAGCCATGCTCGTGAGTGGTTGGCGGTATCTCCTGTGGTTGTAATTTGTCCATTCCTAAAGACTAATGGTGTTGAGTGCCTTTTTATGTATTTATTAGACATCCATCTATCTTCTTTAGTGACATGTTTATTAAAATACCTTTTTCGGTTTTAAATAGTTGTCATCTTAGTGAATTACAAGATTTTCCTAATTTAAAAACTTTGATAGGATCTTAGTTTTGTAAAACAAAATTTAAAAGTGAGCAATTGAATATGATGTTGGCCCTCATGGGATTATATATTAGTAGGTCTTTAAGGTTTTTTGCACATGCAGTATCCTGAGGCTTAGCAGGAAGGCATTCTTCATTTTTAGAAGAGGATATTGCTACCCAGAAAAGTAAAGTAGGGGTTCAGCTTAATCAACTTATTGGTTGTAAAGTGGGGATCAGACTGTCTTCCCACATGGGACTGAGAGGCCGAAGACATATTTAGAAAACTTACTCTTTTCACAGGGCCTCATGTGGGGTCTGGTGCTATTCCAAGGCTTGCCCGGAAGCAGGGCTACTGTGGACCTTGGACCAAGGCCTTGGATTTATGTTTGGTAGAAGGGGTGTGCTTATTTGCTGGGTCAGAAGCCAGGTGTCCAGGTGCCCGGAGATGATGGCAAGAAGGTCCTATTGGCTTTGGCTTGGCTTCATGGCCTTTGGGCATGCTGGATTTCACAGGTGGCTCCTGGCATCAGGGTACCTTGTCTTTTCTCACTTCATAAAGATTTCCATTTAGGACCTCCCTTGTAGCACAGCAGCTGTACCTCCTCACCCTTGGTGACCCTACCCTGCAGGAAGATTCACTCTCTACAGTGGCTTTATGTTCCATGGGCTCCTATATCTGCCCCTGATAATCTGTGGAAGTCATCTACCTGAAGAGGTGAAGGTCTTCCCTGGGAAACCTTCCTTGCTCACTGGGGGTGCAGACCGTTTTGCTGATGGCTAGACCAGAGGGGCAGTCCCAGACTTCCTTCTGGATGACAGGAGAAAGAAACAAAATGTTTTCAGTTATCTTGCTCCAACGAGAGGTACAGCTCTTATGATATGGGAGGATTTTATTGTCTATATTGAATATTAAAATATTACATAAGCCCCTTTTCACTCTTATTCTCACTTTTGTCCTGTTGAAACATTTGATCTCTGCCTTTGTTAGCCTGTGAGACTCCTAATATGAAGCCATCCTGTGAGGTGGGGCTGAGCATACTGTGCTGGGCTGTTTACACTGTGAACCCTATGTCCGGCAAAAGCAACCAAATGTGCATTGCAGCTGCCAAAAGACTCCATTCAGTGGCTTATTGAAATCAATGGAAAGAGGTGTTAATAGAGTCAAGGGAAGTGATGCTATGTTTTAAAAAATGACATTGTGTGGCTCTGTTCTGTGTTTATTCTCCTTCAGTGACTTCCAGCTCAAGCTCGCACAGCTTGGCATCAAAAGATGCCTGTTTGGGACCCAGTTGGAGGCAAGTAAGAGATCCAGTGTAGATACTTCTCTCTTCCTGCCACATCACACTTTCTAGGATGATTATCAGATAGTTGAGGACAACTTTCACCCTTGTGAGAGTTGGATTTTGGTGGCAGCACGTGAGAATAATAGCAGGGTCAAGTGTCACATGACCGACAGGTTGCTGGCCTTAGCGTCCATCAAATGTGTGCTTGTATCTCCACAAGTTTGGACTCTTAAGATCCCAAGGGGTAGGGTGTTGACACAGGAAAGAGATCGGAATTATTTTCTCTCTCCTTTTCCTAATAAGATGCAGGCGAGCCAGCCCAAAGTACCGGGAGCTCCAATGGTGAAGCGTTGTTACTGGTGATCTGACCGGCATTTCACGGACTACCTGAGAACTTGCATTTCCATAAATAGTTAATACTCAGAGAATATAGTATTCCATTCTAAAAGATCTCTAGGGGAGTGATGGGTAATCAATCATCAAACCGCCTGGGAAAATAGTGCTTAGCCTTTCTCCTCGCACTGATGGAGAAAACAAAGAAAACTCTCTAAACTACGTATCTTCAAGATGGGCAAAGATAGATACCTGTTCTCAGAGAGCATCAAGTTGTTTCTTGAGGGGTAAAAAAGAAACTCTTTTTACACTTAAAACACAAATATATATGTGGTACATGAACAGAGACACAGTTTATATATGTTGTTAAAATTTTATTAGGGAGGTGATTAGGGGAAAACCGTCTAAAAATGTTCCTTAGTTAGACAGTAGTGGATAAAAGGTTGAGAAACACTTCTCTAAAACTAAAGGTTTTGGGGCCTTGGTGAAAATAACTCTGAGTCCTGGAAGGTAAATAAACAAAGTCTGTACTAGCTCCTGACCTGTGGGGTTAAAAGAGCTGCCATCACTGCTGGAATGAAGAGCTTTAGGACTTTGCTACTGGGAGCTCCTTGCTCCCATCATTAATATTAGAAATCTCCAAGCAAAATTGGGGTGATTTCTGTGATTTTGTTTGACCCCACCTCCTACTGGGGATTGTGGTATGTGCTGTTTCATAGTTAAACGTGTTCTAAGGATACATGATTTTTTTTTTTTTTTTTTTTTTTTTTTTTTTTTTTAGTTTGCTGCTCAGGGAGAATGATTCTTCTTGGCAAGGAATAACATCCAGATCTCTGTTTTTCTTAAGCTTTTCAATCTTGGCTTCTACAAAAAGATTCTCAGTTGGTGCCCTTCACAAGAGGACAGAAACTGAACTGGGGACACCAGCATTTGATGCCATGAGGGCTGCTGACCTTATCCTAACATACTGGCTCAGGTGCTAGAGGAGATGCCTCTTCCCAGCTGTTCTGTACTGAGGAGCAGGGCTGAAAGGGACATGTGGGTATTCTCAGATGTGTGGGAAGGAGTATTCCAAAGCGTGAAGTCTACCCACTTTTGTGAATTCCTTGGGATGGTGAACACATACCTTGATTTGTTTTATTGTTGTCTTTCCCTGGTTCTCTTTTCCTTCTTTGGTCTCTTCTTCTTCTTTTTCTTTTTCTTTGGTCTCTTTATTGGGACTTGGCCGGGCCATGTACAAACCCCAACCATTCAACAGTGCTGGAGAGTAGATAGTATTTACCTCAATAATGGTAGTCTCTTTTCGCTTCTTTTTAACCCTCAATTCAGATGACGGGTTGAAGCCAACACCGACGATGGAGACCCAGCCGTTGTTTGATGGAGATGGTAAGTCCTTGTATTACTTACTTCCAACTCTCATTCTTTCATCAAATTTTAGGCTTGGGAAAGATCTTAACTTCAGGTGTTTGTTTAAGCTTCATTATGATCATTCTCTTTTCTAATTTCTATTTTCCCTAATGTAAGATGGATTGTTTTCACCTTTTAAAAACTGTGAATCTGCTAAGGTCCTGGTATGTTCTCTGCTTCTGGAAAGGGCTTCTGCCTCCCTAGACTTCTTGCCTGTCTCCTGATGGTCAACAAAATGCAGTTGGGACAGACTTTCTGAGCTGTCAAGGCTGGGGAATCATGGCTAAGAAAGTCAGGTCGGCAGTGTCCTTTCCATACTTAGAAGTGCCTGCTCCATGCCTAGCATAGTGCAAGGCCCCTGGTGAAGAGAGGAAGTATATCAGTGTCAGCCTTTGCTCTCAAGACAGCTGCACCCGCTAGAGAGCTTTCTGAGTTAAAATCTGTGGTCTCAATTTTTATGGTAATAGGCATTTTTTGGAGAGAGGTGATAGAAGTTTTTCACAGAAAAACTTCTGTGAAGAGATGCAATTCGAGCTGAATCTTACAAGCAAAAGGGAAGAATTGGGGTGTTCCAGGCATGGAGACTGGCACGTACAAGGAGGAATGTGGGAGGGATGGGACACAGTGAAGGAATAAGCAAGGGAGACTGGTCAATGGGGCTGGTTTGGCTAGGTTGTAGGGACTTGGCTAGTGGAGTCAAGACATTTGGGAGAAGAGGAATTCTAGCTCAAGGGAAATAGAGTCTTATGACAAATTAAAGGCTGGAAGTCCCTGGTGGTATGGGGAGGGGACAGAAGGAGTCTTCTGGGGTGCAGAAGTCTGGGTCTCCATTCAGGATGGAGCTGCTCAGGGCCTCTATTATTCAGGTATTTTACTGAATACTCCAGATTCCCATGAGGAGGAACAGGAAGCTTGGCAGGTTTAGATCTCTAGAACGTTTGTGAGAGATGTTCCTAGCACAGGCTTAGCTCTGGGAAGAAGGAATGAAAGATGAGATTTTATATGCAGTTGGTTCATTTAGTGGAACATACAAGGGGTGATCAAATTATACAGCTAATGCTTACACTGTAAAATATTTATTGCAGTAAAAGGAACACTGCAATTTATCTCCCTCAAAATAACTTTCCCTCACTTCTTTTTTTTCCTTGGTACTGGGGATCAAACTCAGAATCCTGTGCTTGTGAGGCAGGCGGTGGAACCACTGAGCTAAATCCCCGGCCCTTTCCTTCACTTCTGGCACACTTGTCCTGTCATTCTTGTCATTTTTCTGGAGCAGTTTTGGAAGTTCTTTTTTGTGAGTATCTTTGTGAGGTATGATCAAAAATTTCGTGAATCTGCTGCTGAACATCATACAACAGCAAAGCAGGCTTGTAAAAACATTACAATGTGTCCTTAGCCACCTTATTCGCCAGATTTGGCACCTTGAGACTTCTGACTCTTTCCCAAACTCAAAATGACCATGAAAGATAAATGCTTTGATCTTATTTAAGACATCCAGGCAGCAGCAACAGCACAACTAAAGACACTCAGGAAAAGGGGCTTCCAGAACTGCTTTGCAAAGTGCCAAGAACAATGAAATAAGTGTTCAAAGCAAGGAGGAGTATTTTGAGAGGAATAAATGGCAATGTGTATTTTACTGTGATACCTTTAAAAACCTTCAACTGTCGCTCCACGTCTGGTCGGTTCATGCCTAAAAATTCAAAAGTCTCTGTGGGGGAATAGAGATCATGTCACTCTGTAGAAAGTTCAGGGTAACTCAGGGTTCTCACACTGCCATCCACTGGGTGACCCAAGTCCCGAGAGCCAGGAGATACGCTGGAACCCTCTGGATGAAGCCACTGAGCCTGTGCTCAGGCAGCTGTGAGAAAAGAGGGTTGGAGCACATATCAGACCTACTCCTTTCTTCCCTGTATGGAGCAGAGTCTCAGCACCCTGAATCTGCTGTGGCCCAGCTGTTTCCTCTAAAGTGCTCTCTGTGGTTGGTTTGGCATGTGTTTGTTGGTTTATCCCCTTTAAATCTTCTCCTGGGGAAGCTGCTGAGAGGGACTTGGCTTGGCCCATGTTCCTCACCTCCTGGGATAATATTTTTATTCCTGGATGGAGTGGCCCAGTGCCATTGGACTCTGACCACTCTGCCTCCTAGCACAGGATGCCCTGGTTGGCTTTTAAGAGCTGGTGGGGAGAAGGGTTTCCTTGTAAGGAGGGAAGAAGGCATTAGACAAGGTGCATATGTCAGATGGCTTTTTAAATAGAGGTTTTTAAAGTCTAGGATTACACTCCATGTCACATACTTCCCTCTTTTTCTCTTACTTTTCTCTGTTACTTTTTTAAAATCCAGAAATCACAGCTCCCACTCTATGGATTAAGCACTTGGTGATCAAGGACTCCAAACTGAACAACACGAATGTAAGAAATTCAGGTAAATAATTTTCCTTGAATTATATACACACTTTATCCCGGGTTGATTTACAGTTGCTCTTTGACTACCTACTGTGTGGGTTGGACAAGTCATTTAATTTATCTGGTCCTCAATTTCCACAGCTGCAAAATAAGGAGACTACATGGGTTCATTGCTTCCAGCTTTTTTTTTTTTTTATTGAGTTTATTGGTACATTTAGGGATACAGTACAGTTACATTCATTAATATACACACTATCCCTGGTTGATTTACAGTTGCTCTTTGACTACCTACTGTGTGGGTTGGACAAGTCATTTAATTTATCTGGTCCTCAATTTCCACAGCTGCAAAATAAGGAGACTACATGGGTTCATTGCTTCCAGCTCTTTTTTTTTTTTATTGAGTTTATTGGTACATTTAGGGATACAGTACAGTTACATTCATTGTTGGGATCATGTACCTTTACATGGCAAGTCTTGATTCTCATTTTTTTCCCCTTACCTCTGCCCTCCCTTCACCCCCTCCTCCCCTCCCCATCTACAAACACTTTATTTTCATCTTTTCATTCTCTCACATTTTTTTCTTTTCCCTTTTTGTTCTTCCCCTACGTATCACACCTTCCCTACACCTTTAGCTCCTTTCCTCCCATTTCTAAATGTCAGTAATCTTATTAGAATCTTATGCATTGTTGCAGAATATTCACACCAGGGAAACTATTTGGTATTTACACATGTGGGACTTATTTATTTCACTTAGGAGTATATCTTCAATATGTATCCATTTTCCTATGAATGAATCTATTCTCTCGCTCTTTATGGCTGAGTAATATTCCATTTTATAGAAAAACCACATCTTCTTTATCCAGTTTCCAACGGATGGGCAAATAGGTTGTTTCCAAGATTTAGCTATTACAAACTGTGCCGCTATAAACATGGGTGCACATACTTCTCTGTGATATGATTCTTTTAGTTCTCTTGGAAAGATACCCAACAGAGGGATGGCTGGGTCAAATGGAACCTCCAGTCCAAGCTCTTTGAGGTATCTCCATATTGATTTCCATAGTGGTTGCACTAGTCTGCACTCCCACCAACAATGGAGGAGGGTTCCTTTCTCCCCACAACCCCGCCAACATTTGTTATTGTGTGATTTCTTGATAGCAGCCATTCTTTGTGGGGTGAGGTGGAATCTCAGTGTTGTTTTCATCTGCATCTCTCGAATGACCAGTGATGTGGAACATTTTTTCATATATTTTCTTGCTGCTTTCACTTCTTTGTATGAGAAATGTCTGTTCATTTCGGATGCCCATTTTTGGATCGGGTCTTTATATTTGGGGGGACTGATTGTTTTGAGTTCTTTATATATCCTTGATAATAGTCCTTTGTCTGAGGTACAGCTGGTAAAAATTTTTTCCCACATTGTAGATTGTCTCTTAGTTCTGCTAATGGTTTCTTTTGAAGTACAGAAGCTTTTTAGTAAGATGAGATCCCAGTTGTTGATTCTTTCTGCTAGTTCCCGTGCTACTGAGGATTTGTTCATAAAGTCTTTTCCTATACCAATGTCTTCCAGAGTTCTGCCTAACTTACTTTCCAGCAAGTTTAATGTTTCTGTTTTAATATTTAGATCTTTAATCCATTTGGATTTTAATTTAGTGCATGGCGAAAGATAAGGGTCTAATTTTAATCTGTGACAGGTTGATATCCAGTTTTTCCAACACCATTTATTAAAGAGGCTATCTTTCCTCCACTGAGGATGGTGAGCTCCTTTGTCGAAGATGAGGTAGCTGAGTACATCTGCATTTGTTTTTGTGTCTTCCAGTCTGTTCCATTGATCCTCAGGCCTATTTCTTTGCCAGTACCATGCTGATTTTATCACAGTGGCTTTGTAGTATAGTTTCAAATTGGGAATTGTTACACCTGGTGCCATGTGACTGTTGCCTATAATGGCTTTTGCTATTCTAGGTCTCTTGTGGTTCCAAATGAATTTTTGGATTCTTTTTTCTAGTTCTGTGAAATATAGTGTTGGAATTTCAATTGGCATTGCATTGAATGTATATAGCAGTTTCGGTAGTATGGCCATTTTCACTATGTTGATTCTTCCTACCCAGGAGCAGGGGATATCTTTCCATTTTTTTATATCCTCTTCGATTTCTTTTTTCAGAGTGCTGTAGTTTTCAGTGTAGAGATCTTTTGTTTCTTTTGTTAGATTGATTCCTAGATACTTCATTTTTTTGGATGCTATTGTAAAAGGAATTTTTTCCCTTATTTCTCTTTCTGTCTGTCTGTTATTTGTGTATAGAAAGGCTATTGATTTTTGGGTATTCACCTTGTATCCAGATACTTTACTGAATCTGTCAATTAAGTCTAGAAGTTTTTTGGTGGAGTTTTTTGGATCTTCAATGTAGAGTATCATATCATCAGCAAATAATGATAGTTTAACTTCTTCCTTTCCTATCTTTATTGCTTTAATTTCTTTCTCTTGTCTAATTGCTGTGGCTAATGTTTCCAGAACTATATTGAAGAGAAGTGGCGATAGTGGGCATCCTTGTCTTGTTCCTGATTTTAACATGAAGGTTTTCAGTTTTTGGCCATTCAATATGATGTTGGCTGATGGTTTTTCATAAATAGCCTTTATTAAATTGAGGTATAGACCATCTATTCCAATTTTTTGCAGGGTTTTTATCATGAATGGGTGTTGAATTTTATCAAATGCTTTTTCTGCATCTATTGAGAGGATCATATGGTTTTTGTCCTTGACTTTGTTAATATAATGTATTACATTCACTGACTTTCGTATGTTGAACCACCCTTGCATCTCTGGAATAAATCCGACTTGGTCATGATGGATGATCTTCTTAATAATCCTCTGTATTCTGTTTGCTAGTATCTTATTAAGGATTTTTGCATCTATATTCATTAAGGAGATTGGTCTGTAGTTCTCCTTTTTGGTTGTATCTTTCTCTGGTTTGGGAATCAGAGTGATACTTGCTTCCAGGAATGAATTTGGAAGTATAGCTTCTCTTTCAATTTCATTGAAAAGTTTGAAGAGTAATGGTAGTAGTTCTTCTCTAAATGTCTTGTAAAATTCAGCAGTGAATCCATCAGGGCCTGGGCTTTTCTTTGTTGGTAAGTTTTTAATTACATTTTCAATTTCACTGATTGTGATTGGGGTGTTTAAAATGTTTTTATCTTCTTCGTTCAACTTTGGTAATTCATAAGTATCTAGAAATCTGTCCATTTCTTCTGTGTTTTCCATTTTATTAGAGTACAGGTTCTCAAAGTAGGTGTTCATGATCCTCTGGATTTCTTTCGGATCTGTTGTGACTTCGCCTTTTTCATTCCTAATTGCATGGATCTGAGCCTTTTCTTTCCTTTTTTTGATAAGATTAGCTAAGGGTTTGTCAATTTTATTTATTCTTTCAAAAAACCAGCTCTTTGTTTCATTTATTTTTTGTATCGTTTTCTTAATTTCAATTGCATTGATTTCTGCTCGGATCTTTATAATTTCCTCTCTTGTTCGAGCTTTGGGTTTTTCTTGCTCTTGTTTTTCTAGGAGTCTAAGTTTCATCGTTAAGTTGTTTATTTGAGCCCGCTCTGTTTTCCTAGTGTGGGCATTCAATGTTATGAATTTTCCACGTAGAACTGCTTTCATTGTGTCCCAAAGATTCCTGTATGTTGTATTGGCATTCTCATTTATTTGTAAAAACTGTCTAATTTCTTCTTTAATTTCCTCTGTAATCCATTGATTGTTTAGGAGAGTGTTGTTCAGTTTCCATGTGCTTGTGAAGTTTCTATAGTTTCTTGTGCTATTGATGTCTAGTTTGATTGCACTATGATCTGATAATAAACAGGGGATGACTTCAATTTTTTTGCATTTATTTAGACCTGTTTTGTGAGCCAGTATGTGGTCTATTTTGGAGAATGATCCATGTGCAGCCGAAAAGAATGTATATTCTGGTTTTTGGGGGTGGAATACTCTATAAACATCTATTAAGTCCATGTGTTCCAAAGCTTGGTTCAGTTCTATTATTTCATTGTTGATTTTCTGCCTAGTAGATCTGTCAATTTGTGATAGTGGGGTATTTAAATCCCCCACTACAATTGTATTAGTGCTTATTTGGTTTTTCATGTTACTTAATATTTGTTTTATATAGTTGGGGGCATTTATATTTGGTGCATATATGTTTATGATTGTCAGCTCTTCCTCTTGAATTGTTCCCTTTACAAGGATGTAGTGTCCTTCTTTGTCTCTCTTAATGAGTTTTGGTTTGAAATTTACTTTATCTGAGAATAAGATTGCTACCCCTGCTTTTTTCTGGACTCCTGACGCATGGAGAATTGTTTTCCATCCTTTCACTTTCAGTCTATGGACTTCCTTTTGCACTAGGTGTGTTTCTTGTATACAACATATTGTTGGATTTTGCTTCTTAATCCATTCTGCCAATCTGTTTCTCTTGATTGGTGAATTGAGGCCATTAACATTGATGGTTACAACTGATATATTTTGACTTATTCTTGTCATGTTTTTGTCCATTTGTTGACTCTTTTTACTTTTTCTCCCATCTCCTTTTAGTTTCTTGCCTTGCCTATTTGATTTGGTCTGTTGGGCCTCATGTTATTGTGAATTTCGTTGTCCTTTTCTAGGATATTGTTTAGAATTCCTTGCAGTGCTGGTTTGGTGTTCATGAAATTTCTCAGGTGCTCTTTGTCGTGGAAGTATTTTATTTCCCCATCTATTTTGAAAGAGAGTTTTGCAGGATACAAAAGTCTAGGTTGGAGATTCTTTTCTTTTAGGACTTGGAATACCTCACTCCAGGCTCTCCTTGACCTAAGGGTTTGTGTTGAAAAGTCTGCTGTGATTCTAATGGGCTTCCCTTTGCATGTGATTTGTTTCTTTTCTCTTACTGCTTGTAGTATTTTGTTTTTCTGTTGGATTTCTGGAATCTTGATTATTATATGTCTAGGTGTAGATTTTTTTTGATCGTGGCTAGTTGGGGTTCTATATGCCTCACTTATCTGTATGTC